TGTGGAGAGGACCAACCTGCCGCATTACAAATGTCAAGAAGGGAAACACCCGAAATTAAGGCCGTAGAGGCCGCCATACTCCTTGTAGAATGGGCCCGTACAGCCATAGGTGAAGGCTGACCGGCAGCTTCATAAGCCAATGATATAGCCTCAACTATCCATTTGCTCATAACCTGTTTAGATGCAGGGCACCCTCTTCTGAGTGACCCAAAACATACAAATAACTGCTCTGACTTACGCCACAGGGCAGCTCTGTGAACGTAGGCATCCAATGCCCAAACTGGACATAACAGGTTCAGTTGTTCCTGATCTGGGGTATTAAAAGGTGGAGGATAAAAGGCCTGCAACACTATTGGGCCCCTAACATTAACTGGGACCTTAGGAATATAACCCGGTCTAGGGTATAGAAATGCTTTCACCATACCAGGTGCAAATTCCAGACATGACGGAGCAACCGACAGGGCATGCAAATCTCCAATTCTCTTGATAGATGAAATAGCAAGGAGAAATAAAGCTTTCAAAGTGAGGAATTTTTCTGAAACCTCTTCAATAGGCTCGAAGGGAGCCAGAGCCAGACCCTCAAGTACAATGGCTAAATCCCAAGCCGGTGCTCTAGAGTGCAGTGCAGGTCTCAACCTCAATGTACCACGGAGAAAACGAGTAATCAGAGGATCTCTCCCAAAAGAAGTACCCCCCAGAGGGGTATGATAGGCCGAAATAGCCGCCACATAAACTTTTAAGGTGGAAGGAGATAATCCAGCAGAGAAACGGTCTTGCAGAAAATCGAGAACTGAACCAACAGGGCAGTTAACAGGATCTAACTGACGCTCACCACACCAGGTGGAGAATAATTTCCATTTCAGTGCATACAGTCTTCTCGTGGAAGGAGCTCTGGAATGGAGAATGTCTCAACGACCCAGGTCGAGAGACTGGATTCTATGAGCCTGGCCCCCTCAGAGGCCAGGCCCACAGTTTCCACAACTCCGGTCGAGGGTGAAATATCGTGCCCCCTGCCTGGGACAGCAGGTCCCTCCTGAACGGAATCTCCATGGGAGAGCCGTCCAGAAGAGACAAAGTCCGAGAACCAAACTCGAGTCGGCCAGTACGGGGCTACTAGTAGCAGATGAGCCCCTTCCCGGCGAACCCTCTCCAGAACCTCCGGGAGCATAGATATCGGGGGAAATGCGTACAGGTGCAGCCTCGGCCACACCTGCACCATCGCATCCAGTCTGAGAAGAGCTGGCTGCGTGAGGGGGAACCATATAGAGCAATGCGTTGTACAAACGATGTGAAAGGTCGACTTGACTTTAGTTAGACCAAAGTTCTCCCTAAGAAGCTCCACCACCTCGGGGTGAAGTCTCCAATCCCCTGGGCCTCAGCCCCTGCCTCAACAGGATATCTGCTCTGATATACGAGACCACCAGTGTGTTGTCCGCCATTCGCCGAGCAACCACTCATGATCGCCCCCACTTGTGAGGGAAGCATCCGTCGATAGCAATATGCGTCGACAAGAAGCCCCCAACACTGGGCCTGGGCGAGGAACCAAGGTTCTTCCACATGACCGAAGCACGAAGGCATAGCCGCGTGACTTTGATCATGCGAAAACGTATTTCCCCTCGGAGAAAAACCCCTTGGTCCTGAGCCACCACTGCAGGGGTCTCATGAACAGAAGGCCAAAAGTAATACGTTGGACGCAACTGCCATGAGACCCACCCGTCTGAAACTGTTTCACAGTGAGTGACTGGCCTAGATATACCCCATTACGGCTGTAAGAATTGCTACACCTAGAAAAGTGGTCCTCAGAGCACACTCTTCTTGGCGTTGAGAGGCAACTCCAACATCCTTAATGAGACAGAACGACATCTCGATGCCGAACTGCCATAAACTCAGATTGAGCTAGGAACAACCAATCATTGATGTAGTATAATACGCGAATGCCCTGGAGTCTCAGAAGAGCCAGAGCTGCATCCACGCATACTGTAAAGGTGTGGGGTAATAAACCTAGGCCGAATGGAAGAACCCGATAATGGTATGCTTCGCCCCCGAAAGCAAACCTCGGGAACCTCCCTCATCCTCTTTCGGAAACAATGAAGTAATGGCTGTCTGCTGGGAGGAGGAACCCCTTCTACAGCTCCTTTTGCAGAAGTGACAGTACTTCCTGCTCCATAACCAAAGCCTGCTCGGGGTCCACCAATGAGAGGAGGACCCCTAGAAATCTGGGCGAACGAGAACCGAACTGAATTCTGAAACCCTTTTCTATAGTGTGCAGGACCCACTGAGAAATATGTGGCAGTAGTTTCCACGCTGCCAGAAATTTACTAGGGGAACCAGTCTCTCAAGACTGGCCTCTGGATTTGTTTGAACAGTCACTACGGCGCCCTGAAGCGGCGAACCGGCAGGGAACAACCGAACTGACCATTCTACGACCCTCCTCAGAGTCTTAGACTTCTTGTCTAAGCTTTATTAGAGATGATGACAGTCCTCAGATCTTGCCTACCTCTAACTAGCTTAGTTCCTACGACCCTCCTCGGAGGATCGTTGAAAAAAGCAGGCACTTCGGCGCCCTGAAACGGCGAACCGGCAGGGAAACCGAACTGACTGCTCTTCTTTTATTTGAAGGCTCGTTTGGGGACACTGACACCTTGGTGCCCTGAAACGGCGAACCGGCAGGGAAACCGAACTGGCAGTACTGCGACCCTCCTCAGAGAGTCGCACCCCAAAGGGTGCTGAGGAGAAACGATTTCTCAAAACCGTCCCTACCCCAGAGGGGACCACCCTTAGAAGCCAGATCGCCTCGGCGTCAGGGCTTCTCCTTTGTCAAAGCTATTTTAGAGATAAAACAGTCCTCAGATCTTGCATGTCTCTAACTGGCTAGACTGCGACCGCCACCCAGGTACCCCTCAATTGCGGAGGAGCCCGAATGGCGACGCTCTATTTTTCACTTTGTGCTGAGAGGAGCATAATAGTTCTCAGGAACATTAGATTGGTGAGGAAGAAACCTCTGGAACGCCGCTGAATGGTTTATTTCTTAGTTTTCTTGAAAGCGGAGCGTCCAGAAGAACAGACATAATTATATCTTTATTTTCCTTTATCTTTATATCAGAAAAACTTATATATATATACATATATATCACTCTGCGGCCACCAGCAGGAAACAACCGAACTGGCAGCGCTGCGACCCTCCTCAGAGAGTCGCCCCTCACATTCATCCATGTCCTTATATACTCTACCCACCAGCGCTGCCCAATAAAAATGTACTCATTATTAAGATGGCTGGTGGGTAACGTCGGGGTTAATAACGATAACGCCGACTCGGGAGAGAGAAAGCTCGCAAGCGTCTCTTTAACCCGAGGCAATGTCATACTATGATACTTAATACCCAAACATTACTATAGTCAGACATCTGGGGATTAAACACATAAAATACAAACCGGTTTATTCCACGATCTCGACACCTCAGTGTGGAGATAGGGAAAAACCACAGTCCCCGACGAGGAGGCTGAGATACAGAGTTTTCCTGTTTTAAGATACAGTTCATCTAACAAACTCTTCTTTATTTTCAATCTCATAATGTTCAGCTGGCCAGTAAATATTTAACTGGCAACAGCACTAGATAAAACCTCCTTTTTTTCTTTAAAAAAGCTCCTCTTTATTCAACAGAGTTATGAGCTGGAAAATGTATTCATTGAAAACTCAAACATCTGCCTTTTTAAAAAGATTTGTATTTGTTTTCTTTCTTTTTAAACAAAACACTAACGATACCAATTCCTCGGAACTGGAAATCGCAGCACACTAGATCTGGCATGTGAAAGCTGAGAAAGGGCGGAGCCCGTCCCAACCCCCGCTGTCAGATCCGTTTTCGAACCCCGAAATACGAGCCGTCTCCGAGCCTCGGCAACAGAGAGACCCGCTTGGGGAACGCGAACCGAACCGTCCTCCTCGAAGAACGCCCGGCGAGAGCGGAGCGTCCTCACGGACAGCTTCTCGCAATGCACAGTCAGATCCCTCGAGAAATGACTGTTGCATGCTCCACTCCCAAACAGCAACAAAAAGCTGATGTGTGTCCCCACCCGTGATGTAACGAGGGCAGGGAACAACACAACGTCTATAATATTGCTTTGCTCGCCATAATGATAGATAGTGATATATATATATTGGGCTTGACAAACAACAATAAATAGACAAGGACAGAATCACAGAGAGCGCTTGCTGAAGACTACAGAAGCTGTCGAGGTCTGTTTTCAAGGGTGCTTTATAGTTTCCTGGTCTATGACGTCACCTATGACGTATCGGGCTTCCATTGGACTGATTTTACACGTGCTTCATGACGCAATCACGCAGAGCGTTCCCACCGCGTCTCAAACGCAGCTCGAAGTTCCCTTGAAAGGGAACTAGGTCACAGGGGAAAACACAGTAGTGTTGTTTTGGAGAATTTATGCAATTTTAAGTACATTTGTCTTGCTTTAAGGATATTGAAATATTTGGATGCTGTGCAGTGATGTACACCATAACTATGTAAACAGACGTTTCGTGTTGGTGTTACAATATCATGCATTATTGAAGTGCTATTGTAAACCGCATCTGTTTTCTAAAAGAAATTATAGTAACACTTTATTTTGATGGTCCCTTTTGAACATTCTGTTGACTATAAGTAACTTACTACATGTCAACTAACTCTCATTAGAGTATAAGTAGACTGTCTGCTTAATATATGCTCTTTACTGTGATTCTCCCCAACAGACATTCTACTGACTATTAGTAACTTTGCAAATGCATGTCAACTTATTCTAACCCTAACCCTACCAGTCTACCAATACTCTACTAACACTCCAATGACAGTTAGTAGACATGTAGGTGCAACGTTACTTATAGTCAACAGAATGTGTTAAAGGGACCATCAAACTAAAGTGAAAACGACACGATACATTCCTCACATGCGATTCAAGATGCCTCAATTGTTTTCAGAAATGTTCACACAAAAGTTTCTGGTGTCCACTGACCTTTGCATCGGCCCCTGTGGGCGAGGGTGAGAGTGCGGTCCTTGCATTTCGCCCTCTCCAGGTCACAGTTGGTATCATAACTGCGTCCGTCTGACCCACACACAGGCTTGCCGTGACTCCTGGAGCATGCAGGGGAACATGGGCTCTCTCTTTCCCCTATAAGCCACTGCACACATATGTACATATATAAAGAGCAGTGAGGGCATGACAATATAATAAGCCATGGAGCACTTGACAGAATACCCTGACTAGACTTTAATGATTGTGCAATAAATTAAACAGAGCTGCTGAGCTTTAAAACAGTTCAATGAGTTTCACAGGTTTTAGTAGAAGGAACACTCTTGGTGCAATTGCCATGAATCATGAATCTTAAAATAGCTCAGCTGAAATATCACATAGCCTTATATAGATTTCTGTTGTGAATTACCATAACCAATATCTATCTATCTATCTATCTATCTATCTATCTATCTATCTATCTATCTATCTATCTATCTATCTATCTATCTATCTATCTATCTATCTATCTATCTATCTATCTATCTATCTATCTATCTATTATCTAATTTTGAAATTCTGATATATCAAATTCAGTTGTCTCACATGCCTCTGGTTGCCTGATGCCTGATTTGATGTATTATTACAGATATAAATGTGAAGAAAATTCCCTTCAGACCATTTAACTTTTAGAGCAGCAATGACCATTTTTAGCATACCAGATTTTTTTTTTTTTCGTTTTCAAACTCCATAGACTGATTTTTTTGCTTTAAGTCAACACGACACTCCATTCAAGTTCTACTCATTTTACTTCCAAAATGTGATGTATTTACAAGTGGGACGGAATTAATTGTATTCTCAGTAACTGATTGATTAGGTGAACATTTTAAAATAGTATTCCATACCAGAATGGAGGCAATTTTTATATTCCTGGAATAATGTGCACTCATGAATCATGAACAATAAGACCAGGAATGTGCATTATAAAGAAAACAGGTTCATTTCTGATGTCATACTGACTTTATTAAAAGAAATCATTTTCTTCTTCTCACTCACATTGGAAAAAAACGTCTTATTCCCTCTAAACCAGTGTCCTAACTTATTTTCCCTTAGCTGCATTTATCATGTAACAGGACACCTCAAATATATATATCATTCTTGAATTTCCACAATTTCATATTCCCCCAATCTTTGAGAGGGCCAGAAGAGTCTGAACAGTTTAGAGGTAGAGAGAAAGAAAAGCCAGCTTAACTCTTAACCCTAGTACAAGACAAATTTGCTATAGATTGTGCTGTAGCTGCTGGCCCATCATGCAGTGCAGCTTCTGACAGTGACAGTGGTCTCACAGCACATCAGGTACACAAACTGGAGAACTTCTACTGGAAAAAGGGTAGCTTTTGCCAGAAACACAGGGCACATTTTCCATTTTAACCAGACCCATCTGACTAAACAGAGCTGACCGTTTCTGATCACACACACACACACACACACATACAGTACACCCCAAACAACAAAAGGTTGCTTCAGGACTGAATCTCTTGAGTTGAGCAATTAAGCGAATAGAGCCAAATGATGTCACTAATATAGACATGGAGTGAATCCGTCTGAGTGCCTGATGACAGACTGACCAGACATTTATGTATTTATTTTCAGCTGAGAGTATGCCATTATTAAATCTGGCTCCTTTTCCATGCACTGTACTAAATGGTGCTTATTAATACTATATCAGTTTCATGTATGTCCATATCACACTGTATATTTTTTTCATTCTCACTTGGGTAAATAATCCAGAATAGCAACATTAAAAATAAATGCCTAAGCAAATCTTTAGTGTTTTTTAAGACAGGCCAAACTATTCCTGGTGAAAGCTGCCCGGTCTAAGTAGCACTATAAATGCTGCATCCAAAGCAAGCTGCTTTAAAGGTGATTTAGAACTCAATACACGTCCAGATGGTGAGTGCCTATTTGTCCATTTTCTGTGAAGGAAACTAAGAAAAAGAAAGCAACAGGCAAAGCTACCACAGACAAACAGTTGTAGTCTCCCTCAGAAAACTTTGATTACCATATTCATCTTGACCACATGCATATTTCAGTGATGTGTTCTCTATGGTTACATTATGACAAGGCGTAACATAATACCCAGTTGTACGACCTACAGTGAGTGCACTTATTTATAGTCTAAGATACTGTCATCATTTTTCACACTCATGTTGTTACAAACCAGCATGATTTTCTTTTGTCTGTGAAACCACAAAATAAGATATTTTACAGAATTCTCAGTCATTTGAACTCTAAAAACGACATGAAAACCACTAAAAAGGTAGTTGATAGAGCTTGTTAAAAAGTTATAGTTTAACATTAATATTTCATATTTTTGTTGTGCTTTAAAGAAGTACACTTATTTTGATGTTCTGACTAACATACTAAAGCTCATGTATAGTACATGATCATAATTTTAACTCTAGTGTGACATATTACGTTTAAAGTTAATATATTTTTAAATGTACTAAATTGCAACTTTATTACAAATGTGTAAATATATTTAAAGACATGACATTTAACATAAATTTGAATTATAAGAAATTTTCATTTTATTGCAATTAACATTAATTGCGTTATCTCTCTCTCACACACACACAATAAGTACACATAAGAAGGGGCATTGAAAAGTTAACAAACACAACATACACAACTGACATGGAACAGAGGACATATTTATGCATCTCCTCGTATTAAAAGCATACTGATTTATGACTAAGTCAGTGAAAATGTGTTTATTTGTAAAATATGAGCCTAAGTAAAACAGACCGTTTAACTGTATAACTGGAAGTGAAATGAATCACACACATTCTGTCAGTTTGTGTGGGCAGGAGTTTAGTTAAGCGTAGAGCACAGAAGCTTACACAACATAAACATCTGCCATTCTCACATTTAACAATAACGTCCCCAGAAAGAATTTATAGATTTTGGGATACTTAATGTTGGGTTCACCCAAAAATGAAAATTCTGTCATTAATTACTCACCCTCAAATCGTTTCAAACCCGTAAAACTTAAAAAAAAAAAAAAAAGTTTTTTAATGAAATCTGAGCGTTTTCTGTAAAGACATCATTAAAGTAATCCACTCCAGTGGTTTAACCTCAGTTTTATGAAGCAATGCGAGTGCTTTGTGCAAAAAACACAATTTACCACTTTATTAAAAAAAAATACTAATCTCCAACACGTGTTCACGAGAGCACCACAACATGAGATTACTATTTTGTAAATAAAGTGGTAAATTGTGAGTTTTTTTGCGCAAACAAAGCACTCTCTGCACTTCATAAAACTGAGGTTAAACCACTGGAGTAACATGGATTACTTTAATGATGTCTTTACTACCTTTCTGGGGCTTGAAAGTGTCAGTTGTGTAGCTGTCAATGGAGGGACATAAAGCTCTCAGATCAAAAAGATGGGTTTTACGGGTTTTAAAATGACATTAGGGTGACATAAATGATGACAGAATTTTCATTTTTGCATTTCATTTCATCATGGCATTAGAAAACAAAATATCAAACCGAATGGCATCAACAAACAACTGATACTAAAACTTCTCTCACAACTAACGTTCACCAAACATGTGACCAAACATGTTCCACTAATACCTGACAACCAAAATACCTAAACGGTTTTGTCTGTTTTACCATTTATAACATGCATATATATTGATTATATCTCTTTAGTGAATTCCTTGTTTTTGCAACTAATGCAATGATATTAATAGATTTATAACTGTATTTAGTTGTGGCGCAGGTAACTAAATACCTTTTGGGGCCACTGTACGTAATTCATTATTGCATTGCAAAGGTTTCTCAATCAATCGTTCCTATTGAGTGAAATATCTGTTCAGTAGTCAGCAATCCATAAATCCTACTCTGACACTACTAAAATCATATGCAAATCGTTAAAAATATCCTCTTGTTGATTAAACAATTTGTCAAGCACATTTTTCTAATTAAAAGTGATCTCCAAAAATGTTCTTGTTTTTCAGTTTGGGGTTTATGACTAATGTTTCTTCTTAGAACTCTATTTTGAGAACAAGGATACTCTTAACTTTTGCCTGGACCCCTCATAATAAAGTGGAGATTTCTGGACGAGCTGGAGACACCAGAGAAATCTCATTGCACAGATGGATTTATATTCTTGGCAGGCATTCTCTCTCTCTCTCTCTCTCTCTCTCTCTCTCTCTCTCTCTCTCTCTCTCTCTCTCTCTCTCTCTCTCTCTCTCTCTCTCTCTCTCTCTCTCTCTCTCTCTCTCTCTCTCTCTCTCTCTCTCTCTCTCTCTCTCTCTCTCTCTCTCTCTCTCTCTCTCTCTCTCTCTCTCTGTATGTGTGTGTGTGTGGTTTTCACAAGGAGTGCCAGAGCTACTCTCTATAATGTGTGAAGCACTCATTACCTTTAGGAAGAATAACAACAAAAATGAAGAACGAAAGCCGACTTCTGATTGGCTGCAACAAAATTAGAGGACCTAGCCAAATGTAGCTATAGCTCAATTTCAAACAATATTTAGCATATTTTCAACAAGGTTGTTACACTTAAATATGTAATGACCAATGTTTCTGTAATAATAGAGAAAAAATTACTTAAAAAAACAACCAAAGCTATTCACTTTTATTGCATACATGCAAATTGAAAAGCAGAGTGTGAGAAACTGGTTATGCAAACTTCAAATCACCTCCTAAATCAGCTTTGCATTATTCAGTAACGACTGTCAGATTTTATACGAAGGAGATCTGCAATAATCCCTCTTCTCTGATCATTAGACTAATTAAATCCAGGCGAACTGGAAATCTGCTTCCTGAACTTCCTACTTTGTCACTCTAATGATACAACTTGGCTAAGGAACAGTCATGTTATTTCTTCTGGTGAATCTCACTGACTGTCTGATCACCCACAAAAAACAAAACAAAAAAAAAAAACAGGAAGGATGGAAGGATTGTGATATAAAATGTTAGATGATCAGTAATTTTCTTCTATTAAATTCAGATAAGACTGAGGCAAATTGCCATTGACAGCAATTTTTGACAGCAACTTTTCTTTCGAAAATCATATTACAATTAGTTCAAAATGCAGCTTCTGTTCTTACCAGGTCAAGAAAATATGATCATATAACACCAATTTTGGCATCTTCTACA